AAAAATCAATCAAGGAAAAAGAAAAAGTGAAGACAAGTTTTTCTAATAATGATGGTCTAATTGGTGTGACTTATTTTGATGTCTTTGATTTCTTTGCCATTCCAAATGATAATATTGACCATACTTTCTATTACTCTATTTATTTGAGTATCTCAGCCAAATTAAATTTTTTTAGAAATGGGATAAATAAACCTCGATATCTTCTATATAACTGGCCGTTTTGATCATTTGGAACAACTCGATGAATTTAGCAACATAGAATGAAGCGAGTGGGGATTGCCGGGTTTCAGCTGGTTTCTATGCTCTTAGGTTCGATATAAAAAATAGATTCAGGTTCAGATGCGTGTCATTTGATATTCTTTTTCTGTCTTTCTCTCATCCTTCCATTTATCCACACCTTTACTTCTTTCATTTTGTTGATATTGAGAAAAATAAAAATATTTAGAGAATAGTGTGATGGAAGATAAAAATTAATTTATAATTTATGTTTTTAGTATTTTCCTTTATTTTATAAATTTAGTTTGAAATATATTTTTATTTTTCCCGAAATTTGAAATTTTATCATGCATCGTTAATTTCATTATATTAAATTTTGTTTACGTCCCTTGAATATAAATTAAATCTTTTTAAATAATACCTATTTTGTTATACTTAAAGATTTAAAATGGATTGTTAATATACCTATTTGATTGATAGTGCAACTATGCATACTATTTTTTAAGACAACAAATAAATTTTGAACTTAACATTAACATAAAATAATGTTAATACCATATCAGGTGCATCGAATGTCGTTGAAAACTCAGAAAGAGCCTGTATTATTTGATGCGATGCAAAAAAATAATGTTGAATATCTTTGCATAACTTCTTATATATCTAGCTAAAAGCAGATGAAAAAAAAAAACTTCGTGAACTCCCACTCGGCATGTATTATACCTTTATGAAATAGTTGAATCAAATATTATTAGGAATCGGAAGTTCTTTGATCTAAAAAAGTTTTATACTTTAGTATGATTGACTTAAAACATCCAAGGATTATAATGATGCATCGATTAATTAGCAACTTACATGGACATCCGCTAAAGAACCAGAAGATCTTGTATATAATGATTATTCATGTGTTGCTTGTTTGTAAGATAAGTTGACTAAGTTATTAGGCCTTCTACTACAAAAATCAATATTGAATCTCTAAATTTATTGGAAAGAATTTATGGCGATATATATGGGCCATGCACCCATCGCATGGACCATTTCGTTATTTTATGATATTAATCGATTTTTTTACTAGATGATCCCATATTTGTCTACTATTCACTAGCAATGTTGTTTTGCTGGACTACTTACTCAGATCATAAAATTATGAGCTTCATTTCTTGATTACTCAATCAAGACAATTCATCTTGATAATACTGATGAATTTAGATCTTAAGCATTCGATGATTATTGTATATTAATTGAGATTGTTATTGAAAATTTGATTATACACGTCAATACATAAAATGGTTTAGCGGAATCGTCTATCACATTCACAATATACTGAAATGGGTCTCCAACGAAGACTTATGATTTATTTGGTTTTGATTCACCATTTATTATTAGGTATCTTAAATATTTAACGGGTGATCTATTTACTACACGTTTTACGGATTGTTATGTTGATGAAATAACTTTTCCAACTTCGGGAATGATAAAACTATATCCTGAATAACAAGGTAGAATTTCTTGGAATGAAATAATTCTATCTCACTTTGATCCAAAGCAATCAATGTGAGTAAGAGGTTAAAAAAATCATTCATTTATAAAGAATTACAAATCAATTATCTGATATATTTGTTAACACGAGGAAAGTGACAAAGTCATACATACTAGAAGAAAATATTTTAGCAAAAATTAATGTCACTGAATGATATTATGTTGTAGCAAATGAATATCAGATATGTCAAAAGCGAGATCGACTAGTTAGTTTAAAAGACTCTGTACCCTGAAAAAGAAAAGTACAAGAGAAAGACAACAAAAAACTTTGAAAACGATAATATTAAAAAGATCAATCAATTAAATATTGAAAATATGGTTTCTAAAGAACCACAAGTGTCCAAAAATGATGAGATTTCAATAAATTATATATTATTTCATAAATTATGGGAAGGCATAACATTGTTATAGACAATATTTTCTCTTTTAATGTGGCTCTTGATATTATGCAAACTGAGGATCGTGTTGAAGATTGTCAACATATAAATGATTGGCCAAAATGGAAAGAAGCCACATGGGTGGAATTAAATTCCTTAGAGAAGCGAAAAGTTTTTGGACCTGTAATTCAAACATCTGAAAACGTAATCTATGTAAGATATAAGAAGATTTTTTGTACGGAAGAGAAATAAAAATAATGTAATTACAAAATACAAATCTCAACTCGTATCTAGTTTCTCACAAATCTTGGAATTGATTATGAGAAAAATATATTCTCCCGTAATAGACTCCATTATTTTCAAATTCTTAATTAGTTTGATTGTGACACAAAGGCCCGACATGCGCTTTATGAATGTAGTAACTGTTTATTTGTATGACTCATTTGATAATGACATATATATGAAAATTTTTGAAGGACTTAAAATGCCAGGAATAATTGTACATGCCCAAGAACTATTTTTCAATTAAATTGCAAATACCATTATATGGATCGAAACAATCGGGTGCATTTGGTATAATCGCTTCAACGAATATTTATTAAATGAGGGCTATAAAAATGTCGGTGTCTGCCCATATGCTTGCGTAAAAAAAATAAAATATATATTGAATTTGTAATTATGGTAGATTATGTTAATGATTTAAATTTAATTGGAACATTTGAAAAGCTCAACAAAACTGTAGAATATTTGAAAAATGAATTTGACATGAAAGATTCCGAGAAAATTAAATTTTGTTTTGGGTTGCAATTAAGCACTTCCCAAAATGATTATTTGTTCAATAATCTACATTTACAGAAAGTCTTAAAACATTTTTATATGGATAATGTACATTCATCGGCATCACCTATGACTGTTTGATTACTTGATGTGAAAAAATTTCATTTCGTCCACTGGAAGATGAATAAAATGTTTTTAATCTTGAAATGCGATATCTTAATGCAATTGAAATATTAACTTATTTTGCAAATTGCACAAGACTCGATATAGTTTTTCTATAAATCTTCTTTTAAGATATAGCTCTCTATCTAAGCAAATATAGTGAAATATTATTAAACATATTTTTGTTACCAAAAAGATACTATTGGTTTGAAATTATTTTATTTTCAAAAGTAGGGATCTATTTTGGTGGGATATGTAGATATATCTATCTTATTCATATAAAGTTAAATCATAGACAGGATATGTGTTTACACGTGAATGAACAGCTATATTATGAAAATGTGTGAAGTAAACCTTGATGGCAACATTTTCAAATCATTTTAAAGTTAACGCAATCCATAAAGTAGGTCGAAATTTTATATGGTTGAGGAATATGACCCATCATATCCAAGTATCATGTCAATTAATTTCAATAAAAGATAGTCCAATAATTTTGTATGAAGATAATATGAATTGTATTGCACAACTCAATGGAGGCTATATCAAATATGACTTGACGAAGCACGTTTCTTTAAAATTCTTTCGTACGCATGAATTTCTAAAGAATAGCGACATCGTTATTCAACAAATTTGTTTAAGTGACAATGTGATTGATTTATTCAAAAAAATATTGTCGACATCTACATTCAAGAAATTGGTTCATAAGATTGGAATGCATCGATTCAAAGATTTTTAGTGACCAATGTCAGTGAGAGTAGTTGTATTCTTTTTCTTTCGTTTAAGTTTTATCCCATTGAATTTTCCTTACAGGATTTTAATTAGGTAACATTTATTCAAATTAACCAGTGAGGTACTTTTTTACTGATTAATATTCTACAAGAAACCGTATTCTTTTCATTCGTTTGATATTTTTGTCTCGTTAATTTTTATCAAACAAAGTTTTAACGATGCAGATATTTTATAATATTTCATTCAAGGGAAAGTGTTATAAATGATAAGTTTATTAGTTAATGATAGTTGTACCCCTATAACCCTATAAGTTATTATCATTGTATCCCTATCATTCCCTATAAATATGAGGCTTTAATTCTCAATAAAATACACAAATTTATGACTTTATTCCCTCTTCTCTTTTTCTTTCTTTTATTAACAAAAATTCTTCTATTTTTAAAACGAACTAGCGTAAAAAATATTAATTAGATACAAAACTATATAATATCAAAAAATTGTACTCCACATATTGAACTCGCTTTATTTGAGTATAAAAGGAAAAATTACATTTCAAAATGGAACAACGAACTTAAGATCACCAAAAAGGAACTTGAGTATAACAAGTTCAATTACCATGCATTATAAAAAAAAATTAAAAATTACTTGAGTTGGTAAACAATGCAAGAAAGTAAAAAGTCGATTTGCGAAGAATGAACTCTTTGATTCATCAATTTACATTACAATCTAGCTTAAACTTTTGATTCATAGATAGCCCAAATGCAAAGATTAACACATACTTACCTCTGAAAATGTAACAATCTGATGTGAGGCAAAATATAAAAAAGTAGGAGTCAATCTTGATTCTTACTGTTAAGAGTATAGAATTTTAATTTTTTTTTTTTTTGAAAAAAATGTGATTCAAACTGGGCCTAAGAATTAAAATCGAGAATAGACTAGGTCCAGGTCGATTCTTGATTTCTGAACCAGAATCATGAGTACTTGAATAGATTATATATATATATAAACAATAATTTGATATCATTTTAACAATATATTCTTCAATAAAATAATCTTACATATAAATTCAAAATTTTTTCTCATTTTTCAACACACATACTCTATCAATTTACTATTTTGAAATGCATTCTTTCAAAATAAAAGGCTCAAATACACACTCAATTTATTCCAATTTCGATACCACCCTCAACTCAAACATGGGCTATAAAACATCACTCTCACTAAAATGAAGGCACACATGTCCACATTACACGATGCCGTTTTACTCGAAGTCATCTCACCTCCATTGCGACTTCAAATTTCCATAAACTCGACTCGACCGACCTACCAATCTCGCTCAATCTATACGCATACACACCTGTATCTATTTGTTCACCAACACATTACTGTTTCATTCTCTTCCAGTAAACCCTAGATCTCCAAAATTGAAACCCTAGTTAATCAACAAAGTTACCATAAACGCTTTAACTCAATATATTCCGTTTGCATTGGAATTTGATTCCGATTTCTGTTTGTGTGCATTTGAGAATTTGAATTTTGAAAATTTTTGGGAAGGGATGATGGTTGAGATGTACAATGGAGGGCAGTAAAGCAGTTATCAACATTGTTGAAAGTAGAAAAGAGAACGGCAGCTCCAGCGATGGTCGCCCGCCGATTCCCAATCCTCTCGCAGCTGCCGCCGCCTACCAACACCGCCTGAGCTCTGGCAGCACACCGTCGCCGTGTTCAAAGTCTCTCCTTCGACACCCGTCTCTGGTATTTTCGATTCTCTCAACTTGCGTTAAAAAAATTACTATTTTTATATTTTAATTTTATCTATGAATATATTGTTGCATTTGATTCCTATAAAAAATCGTTATATTTGGTAAATTATGCTCTCTTGAAGCTAGGAGAATTAATTATTGAAATGTTAATATATCTCTGCAATTTTTTGTGGGTTGTAATAAGGATACTTTTATCAAGTCAATAAAAATTCAACAAAATTATAGTTGATTGGTTAAGTTAACAATGCTGTATAATCTTTTAGAGGGTGCATAAATGAGTCATGGTGCCTCTTATCAGAATAAAAACGTTTCTGTTAATAGGGGATGACCCAATGCTTGATGATGCATAACGTTACAGAGTTTACCTATTTATTTCAAAATGTGTGAGGTATAGAGTTGTTGGAACTCCTTGAATTCCAACTAGGAATTTTGGGTCAGGGGTTTTTTTTTTGGGGGGGGGGGGGGGAGGGGGAAAGTGATGAGTCAAAATATGTCAGTGGGTAGTTATTGATGGGGGTTATAGCCTTCCTAATATTGCTCTGAGCGAAGGCCTAAAGAAGTAACTTTCTCGAATCATTTATGCCATTATTTTGTGTAACAAAACATGTGGTGCATTTTTGTAATCAGTATTCATGTGACTAAACAATAAAATGAATAAGATTTGTCTATAGCGTAGAGTTGTCCTATCTTTACTAACAAACGTGTTATTGTAACATATATACAATTCTAGTATCTTCTTGGGTAAAGACTATGAATGGATAATATTATATATTGGCCAATAATTTGAGATTAAACCACAGTCCTACTTTCATCTAGTTAATTAGACGTTTCATCCGCCCCTCGAGGCATAGCTCAGTGGTGCAAAGGACAGAAGTGAGGTTATCTCACACCTTGCTGGCAACCATAGTATGGGGGTTCAATTCTTGAGACATGGAATTAGACTCCTTGTAGGCGCAGTGTACAGACAACTCTTGTTCCCTAGCCTGTTAGGGCACATCCCGCGATTTACCTTCCTCGCAAAGTTCTAGGGATGGGACGGTGGGAGCTCTCAAAGTTGGGGTTCAACCTTTTAATTAGACGTTCCATCCAAAGTGTTGACCTAATAATGATGATTATAATTGTATAAAATTTCCCTAATATATTAGTTACATAGATTTTAAAAATAACACCCACTTCTATATATCATATGATTCGTGAGCCTTCAAGAGAGTCGGTCAAAAAGAGCATATTAAGGAGGGAGATTTGAACCATTTGGGACTGTATAGTGGGTGCGGTTCCCAGTGAACAATACCTACTCAATCGAGAAATATATGCATTTACCAATTTTTGGCATTTGGATGTCTACTTGCTCGAAAGAGCGAATTGTGCCTCTGCCAATAAATGGTTTCTATTGTTACCTACTCATTTGAGAGATTTATTATCTTACCAATTTGTTGGCTTTTGGAAGTTTTAACCCTTCTTGTTATCTTTTTCATCGACTAGTTTCAATATATTTATTGATTTATTTTACACAAAATGACATGTCGAAACTATTGTCAGGACCTTTATGGTGTTGGTAGTTGACATATACAGAAATGGATCAAAATATAATTTATTAACTAGATAATCTAGGTCATCTGAATGGTAGCCTTTTTTTTCCTTGGCTCTTGGCTAGTTGATTACACCAACTTGTGGAGAGGATTCCGCTGTCCACTGATTTTTCCTTTCCTTTGTCAACCTTCACAAACTTTGACAAGTATATCTTTTTGAGGACTCGTTCAATCTCCTCCTTCAGCTGCAGAAAATCTTGTGTGTCGTAGGCATGACCTTTGTGAAATATCAATACTTTTTTCGGTCTCATTTACGTCATTCAATTTCCAACTTACCCCTAATTTCCATTAGAATGTTAGTCATTTTAAGTGTTCAGATGGGTATATAACCGGTATGGTCGTTGTCCTGTTTGATCGACTTATCTATTCCTATCATGCCTCGTGTGTTCACCCCTGGGCTAAACATGGAATTTACTCGTGTGGTTCTGGCTCTCTACAGTCTCCAAGGTTTCTGGTGATCAAGAACGCCTCCTCAGTATCAACCTACAAATAGCAATTCCCTAAAATTTCGTGCATTGAGTCTGGACAATTCTTTAACAATGATTGAATGAGTGATTCCGAGTACCATTAGTTATAGCAGTGACCATGGCTGACATTTGTAGATCCTTGATGTCAAGTGTTGCACTACCAAATCGAGCTAGGTAGTCTTTCTACAGCAGCCAAGATTTGCCCTATGGTTTCAAGCTCTCCCAGCACCTACAATGAATGGCAGAGCTAAGTCATCAGTTTCCCTCCAATGAGAGAATTTATGCAAGGAAGCATGAAAGGACTAAAATGATATCATTAGAATTTACCTTGAATTTAGTGAGCCAATATCCTCTTTTGCAATTTTGAACTTCTATCAATAAAGTGTCATGTTACTACCATATAAATTGCATTGTCTATTGTAATGGCACCCACATGCTCTATTCTCGAATCAAGCAAACAGTTTTCATTAAGTTTTTCAATTGTCTCGCCTTTATGATTTGGAACAACAAACATACTCAATATCCTCTTATGCGATTTTCAACTTCTATCAATAAAGTGTCCTGTTACTACCATATAAATTGATGCTTTCGAATTGATGTCTAACGACTAGTGGTTAAAGAAATCCTTTACCTATTATTAATAAATTTAATCCTTAACGATTCCTTTGTTTCATAGTAGAGATGGAGCATATCTCTAGCAATCGTTCTTTGAGAAGGAACCTTAAATCTAGAGGCAAGGTTGTTGCACAAATTCCTTGAAACCCACACAGAAAAAAGCAAATTTATCAATAACCACCACCCTAACTAATGCTGTTCTAAATTCTTCTTAATTAAACACGGTAGTCGTGATACCACCTATATATATATATATATATGTGTGTGTGTGTGTGTGTGTGTGTGTGTGTGTGTGTGTGTGTGTGTATATTTGTGTGTGTGTATTACATTTCTCTTTTTGTCCCATAAGTATTATATTGAAATGAGTCCATATTTCTGACGTCTCATTAGGCTTTTTTTTTGTCTCCCATTCGAGAACCTATATTATGAGAAAAAACAATTATGCTTTCCTGAATTAGCCTTTATATGCCACTAATTGGATTTAAAAATGAATTGATGTAGAAATGCTTACGATTATAGGATTTGATGATCCGTGTGGATCCTGAGGAGCAAAGATGAAGTTGTGAATTGTGAGGGGAGTGGCTAAAAACGAGGCAACAGTTAAACTCAAATGACAGAATAAATGAGAGGTGAATTGTGAAGTGAAATTGGGCTTGAGTTGAAATTTGTAGGAAAAATTTATTTTGGGCTGAAGTTGGGCCTGGCATTGGAAAGTTGGAGACTTGAGCACTTACAGTTAATCACTTAATTAGTTAATTGGTAAATTTATTTAGAAAAAAATTCAATTTAAAAAAATAAAAATAAAATAGGTAGATTCGATTCTTTGGTTCTTAGTCTAGAGCCAAGAATTGAACTAAACCCGTTGGTTCTCAATTCTAGCACCTATTCGGGTATTTAAACTAAGAAGAATCATTTGATTCGGTTTGGTCTGGTTTGGTTCATAACTTTTATTCAGCCCCAGGCATAATTCTAGATCTAATCATGAACGATGAAATGTTGTGTATTATGCTGCACATTTGAGACTTCCAAATAATACCAGCCTTCGAAAAATAATGTTGACCAGAGCATTGTTAAAAGATGTGTGTTTCTTGATTATAGTTCTAACAGAATATGAAGACTAGAATGCTTCAAGAAAAGATGAGAATATCTGAATTTTGTCTTTAGACAGTTAAAACTTGACATCAGGTTGCAATAGTCAGATAATTACATTTAAAGAATTTGTTACCTTCTTTCTCGAGTAAATGTACAAGAATTTGAGTTATGACATTTAAAAGTCAATTTTCCTTCGGAATGTGGTGCACCATACCTGACTTGTTTACATTTGGTAATTTCACTTGAGACAGCTCACTGGTGGTGGCAAATGCTGGAGATTGCAGAGCAGTACTATGTCGTCGTGGTAAAGCAATTGAGATGTCAAGGGATCACAAAACTGTTTGTTTGAAAGAAAGAAGGCGTATAGAAGCATCTGGAGGATACATTTATGATGGATATCTCAATGGACAGCTAAATGTTGCTCGTGCTTTAGGAGATTGGCACATGGAAGGATTGAAACATATGGATGGTGGACCACTTAGTGCAGAGCCTGAATTAATGAGCACAAAACTAACATCAGAAGACGAGTTCCTCATCTTAGGCTGTGATGGTGTATGGGACGTTTTCATGAGTCAAAATGCTGTTGACTTTGCCCGTCGAAGATTACAAGAACACAACGATCCAGTGCAGTGTAGTGAGGATCTCGTTAACGAGGCTTTGAAGAGAAAGAGTGGAGACAATTTGGCTGTGGTTGTTGTGTGTTTTCAACAACAACCGCCTCCAAACTTGGTTGCTCCTCGTGGACGGGTACACAGGAGCATTTCAGCTGAAGGTTTGAAGGAGTTACAAGGCTTCTTGGATAGCCTAGAAAATTGAGATGGACATGAAGGTTTTTCGTTCCTCTTCGTACTTTCTATCCGTTGTTAAAACTTTACATGTCGTTCTCGTTGATGTTGAGTTAGGAGAGGATGTATTGTCCAACTGTAACACATGCGGCTCTGATTTTTTTAGGTTTCTTTTATCTCCTTCAGATTTTCTCAGTTTCCCTGTTTCATTTTAACTAATGTTAACATTGAATTGACTGTAGTCCATATGATGTAGTCCATATGATTATTTGCATGAATCATTAAATCTTGTTTACCTGCTTTGCATCAACAGAAATGATAAATGATACTTGTACAGGGTAAATGCATGGAGGGCTTTACAAATGCTGAGATGGCATTACTTGATTGGCTATTTTAACTATTTTCTGCCCAAAATTCAACGAAATGTTGTCATGTGGCATTTTGTAAAAATCCATGTAAATTTTCCATGTACAAGTAGCATTGTTCTTGCATTAATTAGAAATGATTTGGAAGAAAGACATTGATTATTGTGGCTTGATGCAAATGCTCCTCCGATTATTGATTTTGCAAGTACTCATGCTCTTTACTTCCGAAATAGCGAAAGTAAAATATATTATTTGAAATATTTGTAAATTTTATGACATGTTTATTAAGGTGAACTCCTACTAGGAAATTTTAGATTGTCCAAAGGTGCAACTCATCTATGGGCATTGGTGTGATACATTTTAAATTTTTGGATGGTTCCTTCAATCTATGCGTAAATGGCACCCAAAATATGCATATATCCATACAACATAGAGATATACATTTAAAGACGTGTTTGGTATGATTAAATACTCAAATTTTTATATATTTCTCTCTTTTAGTTTTGTTCATTGAAACTCAATAAATATACCATTACATCTTAGATTCCCCACTAGATTTTATGTTCTAATTTTCTTATTACCCCATTTTTTCCACTAAATGAAAAAATGGATTGAATTTTGATATTTGAAAGGTTAAGTAATTCATAAGATTATGACATTTTTATTTCATAAACTTGTGTTGGTACTGGTTAAAGAATGCACCATTTTGATGAAATGATTAATGCATCTTCAAGGGGATTTTTTACTTAATCTTCTGGACTACTATGCCCCTGCTGCTGGTGGCAGGATCAATATCTGCCCTTCTCTGATGGCTGGTACAATGTAATACGAGACAACAAGTGGACTAGCATTGTTTTCCAAGGAGAATAATACATGAAATCGAAAAAAACATTCTCATTATGAACTGAGCAGGGCTAGTGTTTTTACAATGGTAGAATACGAGACCCCATCCTCTAAATTGACATGAATGAGATCATAACCGTCCATACATGGTGGATTCTGCCAATTTCTTTCTTTCAAGCACTCGATCGAGTAACAACTTCCTTTACAGCATTTGCAGCTTTTTATATTTCATGGCCTTCCATGCTCAATTCACCTTGCTGTGTTTCCAGAGAAGCCCGGTCAAGGCCTAGCACTTTTCTCATGTCTAAACATATCGACATATTTTGCCACTAAAGCATGTCAGCCCATGCTTCCATAAGCATTATGGCGCAGGGAGTATGTGCATCTTAATCCAATTGCTATTCCACCTTCTTCAAATTCAGTAACCAGCCAATATGGAAGGAAAATGAATAGAATTACACAAGAATATGCAAAATTTTAGATTATTGTATGTTTAGACTTTGTCATTTTTGTTGGGTCTATGAATCCGGATTGTATTGCTCACTTATCTTTCAATTGCAACATGAGTGAATTCTTCTTAAGACAAGACAATGCTACATGTACATAATTTTTTTTATCTAATTCTTTGTCTACTAATCACAATAACGGGTGGGGACCACATTTGGGAATTTTTATATTCACGAGAGACTGTGTGCATTGTGAGAGGAGGGACAACTTTTGATAATCCCAATTCGGTACAAATAGAATTATTCTTCTTTTTATTGGGTCATCCTAATTATCTACTCTCGTTCATGTTTACATGCAACTTGAGATATTCGGTTCAATTGTGTAACCGTATCGTTACCTTAATAAAAAAGGTTCGGCTTGTGGAACATCTCCTCCCATCGAACAAATTTAAGCTCCTTTTCCCTATCCAAACTCTGCCTTTCACTCCACCATTCTCATGACGGCATCATAGCACTTGATCGACTAGTGGTCTTAAATAATTGTCCTGTAATTGAAAGCATTTCAGCCTTTGCCTCTCTAAGTTTCTTAGTAAGCTCTCTGGGATTCATCATCACCAGAGACTCGTAATAGAGAACAGTGTGAAGGTAATTGCGTTCCATAACGTGATCTAGAACTGATCAGTCTGCACGAGACCGTTCATTTTACAGATAAACGAAACTAAACTTCAGCCATGGAGGAAAATCTTTAGCATTCTTACTCTGAGGGAAATTTTTTAAGTTTACATGTAATATTATTTTATTGGGGAATGTGTGGTTGGCAAGAAAATAGAGAAAAAATGAATTTTAATTTTTTGAGAGCTAATCATGCAAAATATAGACGTAACTATTTGGGGAATTTGATTTATGGGAAAGGGAAAAACAAACCCACATTTGCTGGAGAATGAAGTTTTCAAGACCATTTTTGACAGCAGAATTTTATTTTTATGACCAGTGTGTGTTTAATTAATTAGTGAAACCAGGAACCAAGAGAAAATGCTAAAATTGTTAAATTGTCAATGTTTAAGTGATTCAGATCTCCCCCTGGTGCAACAGGAAATTGAAAAGAATGCAAGTATAATGAAACGATCATTGATTTAGATAAATACTAAGTAAAAAAAATTCCGAAAAGCCAATTATTTTGGTGGCAATTATCAACACCCGACATGACATCTCAAGCACGAGAATTGCCTTTGATTTCCAAGGGGGACACGTGGCGTTGGATTTCGACTCCCCCCATAAATCCTTGGCCTATGTGGCTCGGGACAAGTATCATTTTCCCTCAAACACGTGTCTAAGTGTACAATACATGTTGAAAACACGTCTCTTCGACTGGCATTCCACGCTAGCACGTCTTAAGTGTCAAATTACACCCGTCTAGTTGTGCTTTCTTGCCAAAATTTTATCAGAACAATAATTTCTGTTAAAACTCATTTTTTAATTGCATGACATCTGATAAGTTCGAGACAAAGTACTATAGCCATAAAAACCATTGATTGTGCATAATCAAATATGCCCTTTAAGAACAACTGATGAAAATGTGCAAGTAATTCAAACACTTAAAAGGGTAATATAGACTTTTTCCCTAACTAGTGAGACGCATATACAAGGCATGTGCCATAGTGTAGATAAAAAAAATTATTTGTGTTAATCACTAGTTATGTCAAACTTAAGCACATATGTTAAATTTTTCAAGGCAACAACATTGCAAAAATGATGCATTGAGAACCATAAATTATGTTCCAATTAAAGGAGAACATTCTCGAGTAAAATCAAAAGTTCTGCACATCTCTTAATTAATAGACTAAGACAAATTACATAATAATATTCTAAAGAGCAAACTAAGGATGATTTATACATTTCAAAAGCTGCACTTTATACACCGTCATAGTTTAGTTACAAGCCAGAAAAGCATCGTGAAGCTTATACATTCTTTCAAAGCTCAAACTTGGTGGTACAAAATAAAACAAAGTTACAAGCTGAAAGCATCATGAAGTTAGTTGTATATTTTTGCCAAGCTCAAACTTCTTTAACAGAGAAAAGGCTAAACATTGTAGCCATACAACTCTGGTATAAAGAAGTATACTATTTTCAACTACAACAGAACAAGCAAGAGAGCACTCTATCAAAATTCCAACGAGCAACACTCTCATTCGAACCCCGTGAAACCAAGATAATGAGGGAGTTACAACAAATCAAAAGCAAAACAAAAAACATGAAGCTAACCAAGAAAGCAATCCTCAAGGTGAGCGGTGCTCCATGAGCTCCATTGCTCATATGCTCCAAGATGCTCAAAAGCTATAGTTTATTTGAATTAAAATTTAATCGCCTCATCCTCTCTAAATTTTTTTGCAGATGAATAGCACCTCACAGAGGAAGCAAGAAATACCAATTATATAAATATACCAAAAATTCATCCCTGATTTCTCCCACCCCCATTCTACATCCCTATGAATGATTCAAAAGCTCATATTTGTCCAATTGCCTGACATTCATCATAAACAAATCATTTGCATCATGAGATGAGGTAAGATTGTCATATATTTATGGATTTACCTGAATCAGATTTCCCTGAAATGCACTGAAGAAAGTAGTCCTGGAAAATATAAAAGCAAAAACATGTGCACCATTCACTGCTATTTACTTTGAAAAATATCTGTCCTATAACTTCAATCGTGAAATTAAGAGGAAAACAATAAATATGGGCATAAACTTCTAAAGAAAGAATAAATCTAAGTTTTTCTCGAGTAAATCATCGGCAGTAAAGCTTGTAACTTGCTAGTGAGAAATGTTTTCCGCAAAAATTCAGAAGGAAATTCCCAAATCAAATTCGAAATTAATCTCATCCAACTTCAATTCCAAAGCCCTAGATTCATGGGAACGAATACAGGACTGATATAATTACTAAATTCGTTATGCCACAAAACTCAACCCAGCAGAATTATATCCAATTAAACACATTGTCACCAATAACATACCCAGCTGAAAGTAACTCAGCAACTAAACTCCAACTTTATCGAACCACGCAAAACAAATACATTGTCGAGCACGGGCACCAACTCCAGGACAGACTTCTGCAGATGATGTAGAGCACTCACTTAGCAGTTCAATAAAACACTTACGCACTCTACCATTCCCGCCCCCATCTCTCACTAAACTTTTTATCCATTTTTTTTTGGGTGATTTTGGTTTGTATTGCGTAAAGTATCCATTATCACTTGCATCATTTGTATCCAGAACTCCTTATATATACCTTCATACTATACCAACATAGCACGACATGATTCTATTCTTAAGGTAAACCTTGCCAATTTTGAGCCTTATTCGGATTTCAATAACCACGAGTAGGTGTGACACCTATTAACCTACATTTATTGCTTCATAATTACCCCTTCATTACTTTGGTGCATCTGTCAATGCTTCAAACTCAATTATGATATTTCATCCATAGCCGACCCCCACCATATGACCATGTAAGATGAAAAGAGCAAGCCACTCTAGCTTATTTGATCGTGCTTAAAAACACTGTCTCACCAAAGTAATTTATAGGGCTTGTCATCGAAGAACCAAAAACTAATTGCAAAGTGACCCAACTTCAATAGAAAGTAATTACAAAAGTCAATGTATACTTATTCCTCAGATGATAACCGCAATAACACAAAGCATTACAAAACCCTCGACTTTAAGAAAAATCTAAAAAAGACTCCAAATTTCTTCACCTGATTTAGCAAAAAGCTCTTGCCTTAGCGAGCCCAGCCCTACACCAAGGGGTCCTTGACGAGCTGAACACAGCCACGACCTCGGGATCCAATTGAAACCTCACTTTTCCATCACAGCATATGAGGTGAATCTATACTTGAATCTCTTGCAGCTTTATCTCTCCACCTGTAGAGCCATTGATTTGATGGAAAAATTGATTATTTTGCAAAAAAGCGCGCCGATACAGGGGCTACGTGTTAAACATCCATACTCCACTATACTTAAAATATCAATGTATATACAATATCAGCAAATTACATATATCATCATTACCAGCATTTCAGTTGGTTATACATACTCAATTTATCATAGTATGCAGAAAAGGCCCACAAAGTACCAAATCATGCTCCAAGTTCTAAACTTAGATAGCATAATTTTCCATCAGTGCAATTTTAGTTCAATATGGGAGGAATATAGGAGAAAAAAGGCATGTTTTTTTGCATCAACTCTCGGCAATCTCCTTTACTTGCTGTCCTTGGATCAAGGGGCTTTCCTTCAGAAAGGAATAAACCCTGTTTTATACGTCCCAGTCGTCTCGAAAATAGAACTTGGTCCGAAACAACTGGCAGCCGAATAGATTGATATTCTCGAAGAGCTGAATTTAGACTCCCTTCTCCCCACTTCTCAAGGCATTTGCCCAAGACTGCAGCATCTAATATCGACATGTTTGTACTTCTTAAACCATGAGGAGTCGTAGGGTGAGCTGCATCTCCAATCAAAACCACGTTGTCCCAAAAGATTTGATCGAGAGGCTCACTATCGTATATGACATTCAAGAATGGTTCCTCTGTTTCTTGTATTACCTTAACCAATTCGGGGACCCAAACCTTCTCTGCTGCCTTGTGCATCTTCTTGACCATGTCACTGCTAACTTTCATGGTAACCGAGTTTCCCTGAATTGGAACATCAAAAGGTGCATTGAAAAAACAGCTCCTATCTAAATATAAATAACCCATTTTGCATTTTCAAATAAGCCATTGTACAAGTTTTTAGCTCCCAGCCTCAAACCCTTACCCACCAATCGGGGCATGTTTGGTAAACGGATTAAACAACACTAGCCACTACTAAACAAAGAAGCTCAAATCTTGTCCCTCATACTATTCAGTGCGGTCTAATACTATGCACCAAATATGCTACTAGGATAGGTTTGATAAGAAAAAATATGCAATGAAGGATAGGCTTGCCCATCAATCTCTAAAGTGTCAAATGGAACTTGATTCAGGTGCTTTTCCTCCTATCTATACCATCCATTGTAGTCTACCAAACATGGAATTAAAGTTCACCAGGCTAGACTCGGGAATCAATTAGGAAAAAGAGATTTTGGCTTATTGTGTTAAACTCATGGCATATAATTAATGGGTAAAACTGATAGAAAGAACATACCTTAACCTCTGGCTCGGGTTGATTAATATACCAAATCCAATTAATTCTTTTATTCAATAGCTCATAAAACACACTGTGACCTTCTGAACCCAGGTCAAAATATAAGCATCTACCTAGATCAGGGTATGCCTTCTTAAGCCCAAGAATGGTTTCAGAGTTCTCATTATCTGAAAAATTGAGAACCCCTCTCCATGCACAGTAACCTGAATACCTACCATAAAAGGAACATAATTCCAAAAAGATCAGCACTTTAATTTTTACTTTGGATTAAATAAAGATATCTAGAGTTCTATTCAACCACCTCAGCTTAAGGTCAGGAAGGAAACTCTGTCGAATTGAAGAAAGACATCCATCGGCTGCACAAAGCAAATCGCCAACGATATCAATTGTATTGCCAGTTTGAAGAACTTTGGTTCTGACTTTCACAAAGGATTTGTCATCAGAAATAGAAAAGGAGATGAACAGATGTCCCCACAAAACAATCTCCTGCGGTAATGCCTTGTACAGAAGGCTATGGAGGTCGGACCAATATGCTGCTCTAAAATTGAACTTCTCATCTCTTGTCAGCATCCAGCTGGTTTTATTGTTTCCATCTGTAGCTTGGTTCTGCAATTAAACAAGAATGTTTACAGTGGAAAACATAGATACTACTATTTTATTTGAAGTCAATGAAAAAGTTTCTGATCCCAAGAGTGCATTTGGCTTAGATAATTAGGAAACAATAAATATAAGCTACTAAAGAAAAGATGGCTCTTTTTCCGCTTCCTCTTGCTTGGAAATTGAAAAACAGAAAAAGAGCATTGAAAGCTCCTATCAGTAAATTTTGAAAAAGCGCTGCCCCTTCAAAGGATCTTTTTGTACAAAAAAAGAAAAATAGCATAACAGGCTCCATACTGATGAAAAGGTACAATATTGAATGAGAGTAAGCTTTTTAGCTTCACAATGTAAATATCACTGGAAAAATTTTATAGAAAGGATTCATTGCCAAAGAAGAATGGGAATTTGGGCATTTTACAATACCAGGTATCATTGCTGTACCCTTACTTCACTAAGCCCATTATGCTCTTTCAGTTTTGGAGGTTTTCCGGCAGAGGTTGTAAAGCAGGTTTTGAACAATCTATAACACCCCCCTCCCCCCCCCCCCCCCCTTATGGATTGAGAGAAATAATTCCAAACATTATTTTACCAAAATGAAAGATGTAAGATGAACGAGTTATCAAAAGCTCATTTTATGAAAATGGTAGTTGGGAAAGCAGGACTATTTACTGGGAGGGAAGTAATCCAAACAAAAAATAGCCAACAACCAATAGTGGTTATTGGAAGAAATCAAGTATGGGGATTGTGAAGTTGAACGCTGGCATTTTATGCGTTTTACGGATCATGCTCCAGCTTAGAAGTAGACACAGGAGCTCTAATAAGTAATAACTGGGTTAAGGTTATAAATTCAACATAAAATATGCTCGGTTTGGGCTGAGGTGGATTCTCAGTCTTCAATACAACTGATGTGTAAAAAATCTCAAGGACCTTGACAAATCAGTATGACTTGGTGGAGCTTCATTATTGGCGGGAAGGATGGATGTCTCCTTCTACCATATTTGGAGAGAGGGGATAAAGTGGAAGACTAATTAGCTAACACCAGCTATAAAGAGATCATTCATACTGCTACAAGCTAGAGACCTTACTGGGAAGTTACTGGGTTGATTTAAGTAGACAAACGGGGAGTTCCAATTTGAGATTTAGATAGGTTCTCTTTGTTATATATATTTATAGTTTGTGTGAGTAGTATAGGTAATTGATGTTTGAGATATAGGTAGGTTCTCTTTGTTTGTTTGTTTTTTTTATTTTTTTATTTATTTATTATTATTATTATTATTATTTGTTTTGTTATATAAGTTTGTGTGAGTAGTAGAGAAAATTGATGTAAATCTGAGGAGGTAAGGTTTGTAAGTCCCTTCCATGTACTAATGTTCATATTAATATACTAAGGTAGGGGACAATGCCAACAAAGAAAGAAAAGAAAATCTTGGCCAGCAATTATACATATATAAATCCAAATCTTTTCACAAGTGTCTGAAATTCTTTATAAATGAGCAAATGCCATCAGTTGCAGAATTCTATTCTGTCCCTGAGTGTCATCAATGTTTGCTTCCATTTATGGTAGGATATAACAAATATAACGGCCAAATCCATCTTTCTACTTCAAATTATTTGGACGTATGCAAATAAGCAATTATACAAACCAATAACAATATAGAAGATAAAACAACTCTAGCCTCTAAAGGAGGATAACTTTCAGGGTGACAAATTCCACCACCAGACGTAGACAATGTCAACTGTAATCTACTGTGCGGGAATTCGACCACTATCTAAAAGCTAGAATTCTAACTTTTGTCAAGACCTACAAGTGAAGGGATAATCTGAAATAGACAGTTTCTAAGGCTTTGTTTGTCTTTCTCTCTTCCACATTTTACCATATTATTTTTTCTACAGTATTCATTTTCAACCACACATTCTTCATTAAAATAATATTACATATAAATAAATAAAAAATTTCTCTTTTAACCACACATTTCAACAGCAATCACTATTCCAGAATACATTACACACAAATTATGGGGCAGAAAAAAGCACTAAGGGCCATAAGCCTTCGAAAAAGTAACTTAATATGAAAAGTTTTCGTCAAGCCGAATGAAAACTTTAAGGGGCTTGACTGCAAGACCATCCCATTGAGAACAAATGAAAGTTGGCCTTAGTGATCCGACTACTGCATTTTTTTTTCATAGCATTCATTCAGTTTTTAACATTCTCTGCTTCACTGTTCAGAATATTATATCAAATATTAAAGGTTGAAAAATTGCTAAGAGAAATCATAATTGCCAATTACTTCGATGAAATTGTTAGTTTTTTTAAAATTAAAATTATAATTCAAGATTCTATAGACAACCAGTAAATTGATGACCTAAATCACAGCACTGACATGACTATGCTGTTCATTTTCATTTTTATAATTAACATCAGGACCTAAAATATATCATCATTCTAAATAGCTACTTATCTACTAGATTTCACATTTGTTATGCACTCTGTGTTATCAAATCAATCTACAAGAGTATTGATTCTTGATATTCTATTAAAAACAGAGAAGAAAGATACTAAACCACACGTCATTGCTGCATAAATAAATCCTAGAAAAAAAAAATTAATTACTTGATCAATGTCGAGGGGCAGGGTAGTCATTTGAAGAAGCTGGGGTTGTTGAAGCCATGACTGGATGATTTTCTGAGCCAAAGGGTCGAGTCCAAGGCCGGCCCCGGTGGCGCTACCAGTAGGAGGAGAGCATGTCTTTTCCAGCACCACAACATCCCATCCAGCTGCAATCAGTGCGTGCGCGCAGGATATCCCTGCTATGCTGCCTCCCACCACCACAGCCTTCTTCTTCCTCTTCTCCTCCATCTCTCTCTCTCTCTCTCGGGTTTTTCTTGATTTAGGGTGAAGGCGCAACTAGAGGACAACAGGAATCATTTATCATTATTCTTGTTTGTATGAGTGCAAGAGGAGATAAATTGGACGCGCGTGACCCTGCATTTTATTGCCTTTTCTTTTCTCTTTTTTTATTTTCCCTTTTTGATTTTTGGACAACATTTTGTTTTTGGTTCAAAGCCAAGCTGCTCACCTCCCAAAAGTATCATTTCTTGATGATGTGTGGATAAATCACTTTTTACTACGATCGTTGGGAGTATACACAGTTTGATTTGAACTACTCGTAATATATTTTCAAATCAAACCATTTAAAGAAATTTATCAAACCATTTCAATTTCTAGATCATATCAATCTAAGTCACTTTTTATTTTTATTTTTATTTTTATTTTTTTGTTCGATTCAGTTTAAAATCATGGTTTAACAAAGAAAAAAATAATATACATTGAATAAGGTAAATTATAAATATTAGTCTAAAATTTCACATTAAAACATAGATAATATCATTGAAAATATTACAAACCAAAGATCTATCATTCTAATCATTACAATACAACAATATGATAGAAATATTTTTAATCCCCTAGTCTATACTAATTGACTTAATATTTGCAATTGTAACATATAATTCATTTTTGTTTTTGTTTTACTTGAATATGAGAGTAAAATTTTCATTTTATTGAAAAAATTGATGAAATGACGTTTTGCACAATGAAATGTGAAAATAGAAGTGAAAATGCCAAAAAATGAAATGTAATGACGTTTTGCACAATGACAATGAAATATGAGAATGTTTTATACTATTTACCCATCATCCAAATATTGATGAATCACTAGATATTCATCATTACCATGCAACCAAATTTCAAGGTCAATCACAACCTCAATTATATTTGCAATCAACGAACTCCTAAAAGAATCAAGAATCTAACTAGTAGTAGAGAACGTTGAGTCATAAACAATTGTGGATATTTGAATAGCTAACATATCTTTAGCAATTTGGGGGAAAATCTTGTACTTATTTGCTTTCAATTTTCACTAAAGTAATATGTGATAGCCCAAGAAAAGCTAATCAAGAAGGGGGTGAATTGGTTTTTAGATTTTTTTCGAAAGATAATTCAAGTCTAAAAACAATATATTATCAAATGTCGCAATAAAATACATACACACAAATATTAAGTCAAATAAGGAAGATTAATGAGCACAATGTAAAACTGTAAATAGAAGAGAGAGAAAGAATGCAAATGATGTAATTGTCAAGGTTCGATCTAATGTAATGATCTACAACCCCTTTATTAAGCTCTTCAACACGAGAAAGACCTTTTCACTAAATTTGATTAACTTATGATGTAATCCAACCTTCACAATGCTTCCGATAACTTACAAATAAGAAGCATCGATCCTTTTACAACGTTGAGCTTTTCGGGACCTCAACACGGTCCACAATTCAAAAAGAAGAGTAAATTTTACAAATGAAATCTTTTCTTTTCATAAATGATATAATCAAATTTAAGTACCAAGAGAGAAGTAGGCTAACACTTTAATAGATAGCAATAAATATAACTCAAGTGTTAGAGTAGAAAAACTTTTTATGGAAAAAGTGGTTTTCAATAATTATATTCACTCAAAAAAAAATTTCAAGAAATAAATGAATTGATCTTTTGAAGAATGAAAATAAAATAGTTAGAATCAATAATTGCCTCACTTTAATGTTCTTGAAAAGTTATTTTGAATGAAAAGTAAAGTAGTATTTATAGCAATTAAAACGTCAAATAATATGTTGATTCAGACGAGTCATCCGGACGTTTGGATCTGAACCGGATAATGCAAAAGTAGCCATTACGCATAAGATATAGAACAGTCAAAAATTTGACTGTTGAAGCATCCGGATGTTCAGATGGTGATATGAAATCAGGTTGGACAAAAAGTCTTCGGACTTTTTCATTCGTGATAATTTTGATCAATGTAGCCTTTTGAAAGATTTTTTCACTTAACTTTTCACGACAATGATTTTATAATAATTCGATCATTGTGTTAAAATCATTTTCTTTTGAAAATATTTTTTATGCAATCGTTTGAATGATAAAAATTCTTTTTGAACTATGTTCGATACAATGCTAAGAATTAAAGTGTTTTACCTTTACATATAAATTCAAAGCTTTTATGTTCAATGTCTCCGTATACTTCAAAGTTCTTTCACTTAAACATCCATCAATTTGCCAATTTTGTTTTCTCATTGATCGTCAATTGCACGTCTCTTGATCTCAATCTTCGCGTCTTCATTTGTATTGATTTTGCAATAATTTTTATAACACTCAAATGCAATTTGTTAGAAATAAATGCAATTTGTTTGTGATAATCAAAACGAGAAGTCAACCATAGTTCAACAATTTTCCCATTTTTTATTATGACAAACAAAATAATATGTGATATACCAAATTGATAAGAAATCACACGAATTGATTTGCAATATATTCCCCATATCTTTATATTTTCCCTTTCGCCGTTCCTCCTATCATGCATAATCATCTATCTATCTTCCCCCTTTTGTCATAAGTAAAAATCGACGTGAGAATAGAGATTAAAAACATGTCAACCATAGCAATGAAATCATTAAATGGCATCATAATATTAATAACAGGAAAAACATTTAAAGGTCGATAAAACTAAGACGTGTTTAACAATACAACTAAATCATGTTTCCTGAAGTAGAACTAAGGCACTGGAAGCGACGGTGGAGGGAAGCTTGCATAAAAATCAGCTAAGAATGCGATCTGCTATGCCTAAATTTTTGCTTTTTAGCCTGGATGTCATTCTTTTGCGCTAGAAGCTGATGAAGTAGAGTATCGAGGCCATCCATCGAAGAGGTTGGAGAATCAATGCTCCCATTTAGAATATTATGTTGATCCTCAGTAAATATGAATCCACCACCTGAGGAGCGAGGACCACTTGAGCTCGGTATGTCATGAGGAGGACTCGAAATGGTGGTATATCATCTTTTTCTTCTTCTTTTTCTTTATCACCCTTAAAGGGTAGAGTCGAGAGACCCGACATGAGGTCGAACCCTTTAGTGTGAGCCACACATTGCCCATGTGCCTTAACTATCTTCATCCATTTAAGAGTTTGGATATTGATATTATCGGTGGGGCGAAACTTAACACAAGTCTCATCAAATAGTGAGACGTCAAAATGTTTGAAAATTTTAGTGAGAAGCATCCCATATGGTAAAGTTTTAACGTGTCGTGATGAGTGAACAAGCTTCATAAGTCCTAATGAAAAGTTGGAAAATCAAGTTTTCAACCGACAAGAAATGAATCAAGAATGAAGAGATCAAAGTTGCTTACTTCATCTTGGTGACCTTTGCGTGGAAATCTGATGTGTGATAATATTTTGCAAAATTTTGCATGGAATGCTCAATTGATTTGCACTCCGGTGACTTGAGGACGTACCTCGAAAGGATCATAGCCATCCAAAGTAGGATGAGCTTTGTGGAGAAAAATTTGTAAGTCACACGGTTCAAGCTAGAGAATATCACAAATTAGTGCCTTTATGATCGTATTGCGCACATTTTTAATTAGACATATAATCTCGTCGGAACGAGGTGCAACGTTCATTTTTTAGTAAAATTCTTTCATGAGGCGTGGGTATGCGGGTTCTTCCACAGTGGCAACCGATACCTATCCTATATTTTCAAAATATTCTTCCAAGTGAAATGCGGGTCCTCCGATAGAAAAAATGGCAAAATCAACATTTTTACTTATTAATATGGGTGACTTCTCAAATGGGTTCGTGGGCACCTTGGGTTCTAAATCCATTTCTTCATCGGAGGAAGGTGGAGGAGAGCGCCTAACGATTTGTTTGATATGTTTTCTAGAGCATTTACCTCATCGTGATCCCGACATTTTGGAAATTTGATGAGGATCGATTTAGGGCACGAGTTTGAGTAAAAATGAATAAATTGAAACAGAAATTGTGAAATTTTGAGTTTTTGAAAGGTTTAATCTTGTGGATTTTTTTATTTTGATGGAAAATAGATGATTAGAGAACAAGTACGATCGATTTGGAGAGGATGTAGGGAAGAAAAATCATGAAAAATGAAGAAAATGGAGAAAAAATGAATTGGTAGCCGTTTTAAAAAATTTGATTCCGCACAGAACTGGACGTCCGGATTGACAGAACTTAAAGTTTCTTTCAAACCGAACAATGTTGTCCAGACCGTCCGAACAGTTCCTGGCTCATCCGGATGCCCCTTTTTGTTAATGAATTAAATTAATTAAGCATGTCGTTTTCATCAATAATTCCTAAACCTCTTCTAATGAATGAGAACTGATCAAAGGCTAGAGGTTTTGCGAAGATATTGGTCAATTGAATTTCTATGTCAATAAATTCTAATGTGATATCTCCTTTTTATGCATGACCTCTGAGATAATGACGTCTAATTTCAATTTACTTCGTTCGAGAGTGTAAGATGGGATTTTTGGACAAGTTAATGGCAGTAGTGTTATCACACACAATAGGAATATGATTGTAAGATAAATGATAATCATTAAGGATCTGTTTTATCTATAGCACTTGTGCACAATAACTCGCGACCAAGATATATTCAGTTTCGACGGTAGATAATGCCATAGAATTTTGTTTCTTACTAAACCATGATGTGCAAATCCTAGAAAATGACATGCGCCGCTAGTGCTTTTACGATCAATTTGGGAACCGGTCCAACCGGCATCCAAATAACTAAGTAGATCAATGTGAGTTCATTTTGGATACAAAGTCCTAGGTTTCGAGTTCCTCTAAGGTATCTAAAGATCCTTTTAATGGCTTTAAGATGATATTCCTTAGGATTAGAATGAAATCGAGCACACAAGTATACACTAAACATAATACTGAGTCTACTTGTAGTTAAATAAAGAAGGGATCCGATCATACCTCGATATTTTATTACATCGATGAGACTACCTTGATCATCTTTGTCGAGCTTAACAGATGTGCTTAGTGGAATGTTCATTGGATTTAAGCCATACATTTCGAATTTCTTGAGCATGTCAAATACATGCTTGTTTTGATTTGTGAATATTTTGTCACTCGTTTGTTTAATTTGAAGGCCAAAAATGA